TGAAAAAGAGAGAACATTACATACATTGCTTAAAATTTTGTAAAATCAATTCTAATGCTCCTACATGTATAAAGGACATGTGCTACATTAAGGAATATTATTTAAATAATTATGTTTTCAATTATGGAACCCAGTTTTGATCTAGGCCCCAAATTATCCCAGAGCCTAATGTGAAGCATTTCTAAAGTAGAGAATATCTAGGGTAGGGGATATCTACAATAATCTGAAAATTATTTTCTTGCCATCTTCACTTTTTTAGTGGCATTGTAAGTGAATGTAAGGCTGTTTTACTAGTTTCCCCAAATTATTTAATCAGATAATTACTAATTTGATAGGAAAAGCAGAAGTCGAGTTTGAGCCCTGCGTCGGGCTCTGTGCTGACAGCTTGGAGCCTGGAGCCTGCTTCAGATTCTGTCTCCCTCTCTCTTTGCCCCTCCCTTGCTCGTGCTCTGTCTCTCTCTCAAAAATAAGTAAACATTAAAAAATATCAAAAAATATCAAAAATTCCTTAGGATTTTTGTGCATCCAGTAAATAATAGACGGATAGAAGTTTCTATGGAGTTTATCATGGCTCCTCTACTCCTCCATAATCAACTACTGTCTTGTCACGAGCTTCTCATTCCAAGAATATACAAGATATGTAATACCAGACAAGTAATTCTCTATTACATGGACGAGAAAGCCTTGTAGTGAAGGACAAATCTCCTCAAAACATGTCAGCTAAAACTGCATCATTGGCAACTTATATTGAAGGACAAAGACAAACTGCATTGGTAATTTGAATGATTTCTCCTAGTTGTGTTTACCAAATTACATTTGACATTTTTTAATGTGGCGATTTTGTTTAAGAATGCTTACGCTTTGGGGCGCCTGGGTGGCTTAGTTGGTTAAGCGTCCGACTTTCGGTTAGGTCATGATCTCACGGTTCATGGGTTCAAGCCCCGCGTCGGGCTCTGTGTTGACTGCCAGCTCAGAGCCTGGAGCCTGTTTCAGAGTCTGTGACTCCCTCTCTCTCTGACCTTCCCCTGCTCACGCTGTCTCTCTCTCTCTCTCTCCTAGAAATAAATAAAACATTAAAAAAAATTAAAAAAAAAAAGAATGCTTACGCTTTTATACTGTGTGGGCAGGATTTGGGTTGTGAAGAAAAAGACAGTCCATTCCACAAGTTAGGAATTGCTCATTAAAACTCATGTTAGGACTTTGTAGGACATATTGAGGCCATGATTGTTAGGTCTCTGTGCTGGAATGAAGGCTCAGTTTATATGAATAATGAAAAATGCATGTTAAATATCAGCAATACCACTTCCCTAGGTTCTGGAATTTTCCTTCAAGAAGAAAGGACACACAGAGATACTTGAGTCACAGGTGATGTGATGAGAGGGAGGTTTGCAGAAGATGAATCTGGCAATTGTAGGCCAAGTGTGTTGGATTAGAAGAGACTGGAACCTAGGAGACTAGTAATATATTTTTACCATGAAATGTAGTGAAAGGAGCCTATGGTATTGGTCATAAGAATAAAAACAATGGACTGAATGTAAGAAATATAATTAAAGAGGCCCCTGGCTGGCTCAGTCAGTTAATCGTCTGACTCTTGATTTCAGTTCAGGTCATCCATCTCGCAGTTCGTGGGTTTGAGCCCCATGTCAGTCTCCACACTAGCCTGTCTGGAATTCTCTCTCCCTCTTGGTCTCTCTCTGCCCCTCCCTTGCTGATGCTCTCTCTCTCTCAAAATAAATAAATAAGCTTAAAAAAAGAAATATAATTAAAGAAGATGACACTTCATGACTGAATGAACTTTATGTTTGGAGTCGATAACTCTAAAATGTTTATTACACCTCTATTATCAGGAAAAGTATACTGTTGTAGACAGAAATCATGAGAGCAGACACAAAATATTAAGAAATGAAATGAGCAACAAAACAGGTGAGTTGTAAAGAAAAAACCATGTGGTTCATACCTTGTTGCAACAGTTCACTGCTGAGGAACATGGGCCAAATGACAGTTTTTATAAGATTCTTCTTCTTAAAGTGTAAAATTGAATAACAACAGTGCCTGCCTGGGAGGTTTAGTGCGAGGTTTACTGTTGACTAACAGAGTCCCTGTAAAGTGTTTGATGCATGACATCTCAATAAATGTCGATAACTCCTGTTGCTATTGTGCTGGTGGTTATCATATCTTTGGAGATCAGGGAGATAATCCACTAAGAGAAAAACTGGGGTATGATTTAAGACATATTCATCCTACTGAATAGTCAAATAGGCTGCTGATACACGATTAATTTTCAGGGCTGGCTCATAGCTTAAGAGGTGGAAATGAGACGAATTAATAGGGATAAAAGTTCACACTATGAAGTTGACTTCCTTTTACTGGGATGAGGTAAAATGAAAACAGGTGAAGTCAAATTTCTAGTTTTCTTCACAAAAGAACCGGTTAAACGGCAACCACACATCAGGAATTCAGACAACTAACCCTTAGGTAAAGAATCTAGAAGCCCATGTGCTGATGCAACAAACATCCTTCCTCAAAGAGATCAAGATGCTACCCTAAGGTATTAGGGTTTCCTAAAGAGTTTTCTTCAGAGTGCTCATTCCTCCAGATGTTTCATTTAGAAAGCTTTCATATTGAATATGCTTTAGAAATCTACTAGTTATCTGGAAATCCTGCAGGAATCTTGTTTACCTAAGCCAGAATTCCCAAAGTCATTGAAACAATTCCTCCCTTCTTCCCTATCATATCTAATAGCAATCTGAGGTATTGGCATAATAAGGGACAGGCTTGCTATATTTATTGGTCAGAATCTTTTCCAACGCAGATAAACCTTTCATGCAGAAAGAGATAATCAACTTGTTTTATACTTTGCACAAAGTAGATAATTCCTCAAAAATCCTCAAATTCCCCCTGAATCAAAGATCACACACAGTTACTGATCCCACAATAAACCTGTTGTTCTTTGCCTCTGTCTTTGTCTTTTGTGTCTGTTTTTGTCTGTCTGTGACTTACCACCTTGAACCTATCTGTTCAGACCTCGATGGCAAAGTTCTGCTCACTCCTTCCCCTGCTGAATTCAGACAAATCACTCTTCCAAGATTTGTTTTGTGACGGCTTTGTATATAATGATACAAAATAGAAGGGGAAATATTGATATGAACGTACAAAATTGTAAGGTTCATATATATTTCTGCAAGTTTAAATCTGTAATCTAGAGATAAGAGCTGGAGCACCCGGCAAGAATTGTTACAATCTGCAGAGGACCATTCCTACTTATTCTCAGCTAACTATATATGCAAGTAACCATTCTCTCTGGGAAATGACCATGACATCCCTCCCACTCTAAAAATTTTCTCTGACACCTTTCAAGAGTTATAATGAAGTTAGTGTCAGCCATCATTCCTTGTGGCTATGCAGAATGGATTTTGGAACTAAGGAAAAACAACAATTCATGGAGAAAACTTCAGAATGAAAAAACATTCTACCACTCACTCAGCATTGATTAAACTGACTGATAGAAAGATAGAAAGACAGAGATATATAGACACAAATGTAGATGTAGATATATAAATATGTAAAGACAATATTGCTCAAAATAATAGCCACGTTCAAAACTCTCTGAAATACATACCTTAGAATAATGCAAATTCTACACTAGACAAATTGTTTCCTGAAAACATAAAATTTTAGAGAGGCATAAAATTATGTATTATGTTTTAAAACCAAAGTAATCTAGGGCTACTCTGTCAGTACAATCTCAAATAATAGTATAAGATACTGTAACACAGTCTGTGTCTCCGTTTCCTAGTGAATTTTGAATTTTCATTCCATCAGCTTATGTTATTTCAGATGTGTGCACATGTGTGTGTGTTAGGTGCCCAGCCCATAATAAGCAATATTTTGGTAGTAACTATTTTTATGAAATCTGCTAAGAATGTTATAATAATACAGTTATAGCATTAAGACCACTCGGAAAAGACATGATGTTTGGTCCTTATTTAATTTATTCTGGAATGTTGTTGAGATGCCAATTTAAAAAGCTGTAAAGAACCAAAGCAACACATTTCTGTACAAAAAACTTGGTTAAAATGCTGTAAGACATATTTGAATATCAGACACATGGACTGGTTTTAATAGTATCTGATGTTATTGTTAACCATACGTTTAGATGAATAGATTGCTTCATTGTTATTCTGAACATTTCTGTAGACCAAGTTGCCTATGTGACTGGAGTTTGGGCAAATGAAGACTGACGTAAATTGGTGGATTATGTAATCTGACATGCTTTGGCTCAATAAGGCCTCGTACACCTCAAGTAAAGCAGATGAAATCACAGAAGAAATAATGTCCAAAGGACCATGTTTTAAAAGATGTACTACAAAGCTTTCTGCTACTATTTACATGGTAGAATATAACTGGAGAGCTTTTAAACAGGAATGTTATGACCACATTAATGAAAATCATACTGGTGTAGTCAGGGGGGTGGATTGATGTTGGGGGAGAGATTAGAGTCTGCATGCCAAACTAAGTTAGAAATGTGTTCCTGGATGTCTTTAAGTGACTTAAAGCAATGAAAACTAATAACGTTTATATAAAACCGATGCTTACTAAACAGAACATCCACAGACAAGCCTGGTAATTTAATTAAAAAGAAGTTTTATCATATAGAAAATATTTGGCTAAAAGTAAAAGAAAAACCAAGTCAAATTAACTTAAATGGTGTAGTTACAATGTATTAGCTCACAAAACAGTAGTTCCAGAGGCAAGGTATTCCTGGCATTGTATTGTAAGAATGTTTTTCACTTCTCTGAATTCCCTTGGCTTTCTTCTTCTTCTTCTTCTTCTTCTTCTCCTTCTTCTTCTCCTTCTTCTTCGTCTTCTTCTGAGTAAGCAGGAGAGGGGCAGAGGATCAATCCATAATGGGCTCTGCGCTGACAGGCTGACATCAGTGAGCCAGATGCAGGGCTCAAACTCACCAACTGTGAGCTTATGACCTGAGCCAAAGTTGGAGCCACTAAGGTGCCCTTTTATTTATTTATTTTTTCCATTTGTCTCATTTTCAAAATGGCTGAAGCAACTCCAAGCAACACATCTAGACATAGCAGAGGTATAAAGGACCATCTCTTTTAGTATCTTCTTTTTATGACTAAGAAAACCTTTTGCAAAAGCCCCCCTCCTGTGTTCCTTAAATTTATCTTTAAGTTTCATTGACCAGAAATGAGTTACTGAGTTTTATGTCCAACCTCATCAGAGACACTGACAAAAATAATGGAATTATAATGACTGGCTTTGACAAGAGGAATGTGTCTGTGAGCTGTAAATAGGATGCCCCTCTCTAAGGGTGGGTGACTGAAAAAAATGAATTCTGGTTAGCCTGGAAGGAAGAAACAATGTTAAGTAGTAAACCAACAATGTCTTCTACACTGTCATAAGCGGTCAACTAATACATACCATTACTGGAAGGTGTGCTTCATCTGGAAAGCAGAACTTTCTCTTCTACTAGCTTCTGGTGGTTTCCAGAACTTTATTATTCTAAGACCACATTTCCAATCAGATATTTATATCTACATACTATTTTTTCAGAGTAATTATGGAATAGCATTTTCGTTTTCTTCCCTTTTAAAAATTTCTACTCTCCCTTGAATATATCTTTTTCTAAAGCAAATTGGTTGACTCAGTCAAATACAGCCATTTTCAGAGCACTAGGTGGCTCAGTTGATTACATGTCTGATCTTGGTTTCAGCTCAGTTCATGATCTCACAGTTTGTGGGTTTGAGCCCCACATTGGGCTCTGGACTGGCAGTGTGGAGGCTACTTGGGATTCTTTCTTTCCTTTAGTCTCTCTGCCCTTTCCCTGATTGCTCTCTCTCTCTCTCAAAATATATAAATAAACATTAATATACATATTAATGTTCATTTATTTATATATTTATATATAACCATTTTAAGATAAACCTTTTGATTGTCATTTTCTATACCAAATTTTAAAGATGATATAATGAGAAACATAATGGAAGCTTAAGGCAGTTTAATATTGTCTTTAATGAGACCATGGTGGTGTGCAAATGGTGACTCTTTAATTGCATTCTGTATGAAATTGAAATTGACATGTAAACAGTCCAGTGGGTTTGCAAGTTGCTGAGGATTAGTTCTTCTCCCACTTTTTCTCAGTATCATCTTTACCCTCAATCCACTAGTCTCGGTGACATAAATTCTAAACATGTCCTATTAAGTGAAAAACAGTGAATGAGCATGAAATTAATCCTATTTGATAAAATTGGCAGTGAATGTACATAGAGCTCAAGAACATTGGTAATACACATTAAGATTTACAATGTTATTTTCAGTAATTACAAATACTTTGTTCCTCTTAAATATGCACTATAAGCACTGTGAATATATAAATGATTTATCTGGCATTTCAGCTTTTATCATAGAATAAGCAATAAAATGAAGATAGTTTGATCCCTTAAGATAACACATTAATACCTGAATGTAACTTGCATCAAGTAGTTCAGTTTGAAGGAAACAACAGTAGACTGAACAACAGCAATGACATCAACAACAAAATATGACTTGAGGAATTAAAAGAAAACTTCTAGCACAAGAAGTTTGATATGAGGCTTCCCTACTTTATTTGCATATATTTTGTTGCCAGAACCTACAAATATATCGTATGCTTGGAATCAATCAATCCATTAAAAAATTAATAAGTTCCCCAAAATTCTCCAATTGCAATCATATTACTTAATATTCAATTGAAGTTCCACATTAGAAATGAATGGCCCTTGAGATATCACTATCATGTTTTTTACTCTGAATATTGGGACATTTCAAAAACAATACAGGTATTTCTCCAACTAAAAAAAGAAATGAATGACTCAAATATCCATAGTAAATATTATAGAAAATGGAGCGAAAAGAAGATACCACCTAATGTGCTAGTTTTCTGATTATTGTCAAATAAAATTACAGGGCAAGCAACTGATTACAATGTACAAATATTCTGAGAATGCAAAATATATAAATACAATGGGATCTCATTATTCATGAATTGATCAATTATTCATTATTTTCTTCTTTTTTCTGCCTTTTTAGTCAATAGATTCCTCTAGCACCTTAAACTGTCACCAGAAACTCCCTTCTATCACCCTTCAATCTACTATGAGATTTTGCCAATTTCCAAGAGGCTGGATATTGAGGGGATGAAAAAGGAAAAGCCTATAAAGAATACTGGAAGAGAAGGACATAGAATTCATGTGAAGTTTCATACTTTAAAGGCCTTTCCAGATCATTAAAAGAGCAAGTTTTTAGTCAAGATTTTTTTAAAAAGTTTTTCAAAATAATCCATGTTACAAAGGCTGAATCCATCTGAAACTGCATGGTTGACAATTTCAAAAATTGTTTCGGTAGAGATCAAGTAAATAAAACATCTGAAACATCTTGTAAGAGAGTTTTCCTTTGCCTGAAAGCTGGCACTACCTGAAAATATTTCATCTTCTACAGTGTCATAGGGATTCCTGGAATGCTGCTAATGAATGAATAATGAAGGCAAGAAGAAAACCTTGAATTTATTTTATTGGTTTAATTATCACTCTGAAAAGCCATTACTGCTCAATTTGTGAACTCATAAAAATCTCCTTTATAAATAAAGGAGACCATGTTGGGCCCTGACTATTGGTCTGTTGTAGCCAGTGCTTAATTCCCTTCCCTGAAGGAGAACAGATATATATAAGAAGCAGGTTAACTGCTGGTTGCCTCTCAGATAATCCCTGCCTTGAAGACACAGACCATGACCAAGATAAAACTCCTAAAACACTCTCTTAACAGAATAGAGAGAGACCATTGCCTGGAGGAAAAAGAGATTACCTGTATGCACATCAGACAGGACCTTAGGAGCACAGACCCAAATACCATATAAATCCAAACTATTTTCCATCAATACGAGGGCAGACAGTAAATACTCTATGATCTCAGGGTAAAACAACATTTAGAATTCATTTCCTCATAGGCAGAAACCATATTTTCCAATAGAAAATTATATTTTCTCAAGCAGGTGAGATTGACTTGGATAATCCCAGAGGCCTTAGACTTACTCTAGAGCACAAAATAAATATATGTCTGTCTGAATATTTGGCCTAGGTGAGAGATGCTGGGCACACTTATCAGTCAATCCTATTTCCACACCATTTATTGTACTCAGGGCAGTTTGGGGCACACAGTGTACAACAGGCAGCCATTTAAATAGAGATTAGTGTGTTCGTTGAACAATAATTCAAATCCAAGTGAACTTGAACCCTTAAAAGCTGCTTAAGCACAGCAAAAATAATTCTGTCTTTCCTGTTCTGGTTCATTGTTTAATTTCAGGTGGGAGGAAAAAAAACCTGAACCACCAGAACATGCATATTGAAAAATGGGAATTTATTTCAGTTTTCAAATATACCAACTAAGACTTTTCTGCATAATGTTTTAGTTCTTTGTATCAATAGGATACTTAACATCTGTAGAAATCTTTCCCATGAGACTTGAGAAATATTATGCATATTCACAGTAGCTATTTTAACAAGAGGTGATACTACTTGATAGGCCCAGGCTTGCCCCTGGCTCTTGGAGATTTGATACCATTTAATAAATTCAGCCAAACATATAGTTCAAGAGTCTTCCTCCAAAAAAGTGGTAAAGTAAAAGTAGTCTCTTATGCTTAGGATTCTCCATTTCAGAAAGGGGTCAGTGGAGAATTACTTGAAATTTCAGCATGGCTAATCCATGCATCAAGAGCCAGAAGCAAATGGGCAGAATATCATTTCTCAAAACTTTCCAGTGTGTCTTGTTGCAACAATACAATATTCATTAAATGTGCCTTACATGCCATGTTATAATTTTGGTGTGGAATACTGAAAACAAGCATTACAGCCTAAAGCCTACAATAGAGAGAGCAGCTAACACCCTTGGAAGGAGTCCTGACTCGGGGTACAAGACGGTATAATATTAAACTTTGTAAAAATATGTGAACAATATTTTGTACCTTGTCTAGGCAAAAGGAACTCTAAACTGCACACCGAGCATCATCTACAATGAGGACTTACTGATTTTACTTGTAGGAAAATTGATAAATGTGTATGGCAAAAAGAAGAGCTAGATAAATCAATCCTCCAATATTTCAATGTGATATATGGAATAATTAAAGTTGGCATACTACAAATAATCTTTATTTATAGAATACATGGTTATTAATTTAAATACATTTCATAAAGCATTCTTTCAGAAATTACTTTTCACTCATTCATATTTACTTACATTTACTGAGTGAGGATATATATCATGAGCATGGCAAAACCGATTTCTCTCCTTATATGTAAATTCCATGAGCTGATTTTTACTCTGAAATTATTAGCCTGATGGGATATTTTGTAACCTAGTAGTTTAGAAAGGGGATATAATTAGAATTCAGGCAGCATCAGGAAAATACAAGAAGAAACCAGAATTGAATTCCAAACATATCAGATTGGTTAGTCAAAGTCCTGGAATTTCTCAAGTGGAGGAAGGCAAGAGCTTATTAACTTTAGTAATAAAAATTACAAAATAGAGGGTCTCAAAATGGCTCAAACTGATGAATCAGCCAACAGGGACAATGGATGGGTAGGATACAAATCAATGCTGAGACAATGTGTCTCAGCTCTAGGAGAGATTGGTCAACCTATAATTGGTAAGGATTGAGAAACACGGGGCTGCAGCCTCAGGGTGATATGGTAGCTACCGTTAAGGATATGTTCTCTGAAATTCTAAGCCTGTAAGTAAATATTCAGTTGTTATTGCAACAAAATTAGAGAAGTGGAGAAGAGCTATATAAATTATTGAAAAACAGAAAGAGGATACATAATTGATTAAAAGAAATATGAAATAGGACAAGAACTTGGTTCTTCTTATACTGGATGAAGTCACTGCAGATGGGCTCTGAAATGGAATCATTGCAGTGTGAATCAAGTAAACACTTTCTAAGTTTCCCTATACTCTCCTGCTAAATGGCAAGACTAATCTGGAACTAAATCTGATATAAGTTGATTACATTCCACTACTAACACAGAAGACTAC